TACTACAGCAACACCACCCTCGACAAGGTAAACATGGCTGTGACTGTGGGGGGGCTGGTGATCACAGTGGTTTACACATCCCAAATGCTGGAGAAGGCAACCCAGCTGCTCGCAGTGCTGGTGCCAGGGCAGAGCATCCTCTACAAAAAGAGTTCTCATAGCACTGAGGATGAGTCTCTGAGCCGCTGCCACAACCTGAGCACTAAACTCCAGAGCAGCTTCCAGCAGATGTCCTTTCTCCATCCATAGTCACAGGAGGGCAGCAATTGTGTTTTCAGTATGCCCTTTATTTGGGAAAGTGGGGCATTCTTGTGTGCCACATCTACCTCATGCCATCTGCTGGTGCTCTCACCAGGCCTCACCTCCCTGCCCCATTCACCTGCCTGTTGACGGCCAGGTGAGAGCTCCCTGCCATGTGCAGCATGGCTCGGAACCAGGAGTTCCCTCAAGACAGCTCACATGCCACCAGTGCCAGAATGAGGGAGCCTGCTTCTGAGCAGCATCCTGGACTTTCAACTTACCCTAAGCCAGATGTGGAGCCACCTCCGCAACCCTGCTTATCTGGTACCAGCTTTTGGATGTGTAGCACAGCACATCACATCCCTGAAACCAGCTTCCTGCAGGGCCAATGTGTGAAGGACATGCCTTGACCACTGGTGTGATGGATTCATGTTAAAATACATCTGAACTGTTCCTTTTAATTTCAGAATATCTAGTTTCAGATAGTCCCCTAGAAGGAATATGGATGCTTTCTCTGTACAAAGCTGGGTAAGGGAGGGCTTTGCTGCTCCACTGCTGATGCCTGCTGGGATAAGGCCAGTGCAGACGTTTGCTCAGATCCAAAACTGGGGCAATGAAACTCTAGAAGCAGAGGAGGTCTGCATTTGCAGTGGGAGGGGGACCACAAAGAAGCTTTTAAACTCAAAGAGGGGAGATTTAGATTAGACGTTAGGGAGAAGTTCTTCCTTGTGCGGGTGCTGAGGTGCTGGCACAGGTTGCCCAGAGAAGCTGTGGCTGCCCCATCCCTGGCAGTGTTCAAGGCCAGGCTGGATGGGGCTTGGAGCAACCTGGTCTAGTGGAAAGTATCCGTGCCCATGGCAGAGGGTTGGAACTGGATGAGCTTCAAGATCCCTTCCAGCCCAAACCAGTCGGATTCTGTCATTCTACGAAGTGCTCCCAACAGTAGGGAAAGACAATTGTTCCTAGCCATAAGGGTGGGAGCAAAAGTCAGGGATGGGAATGCATGGTGATGGGACGCCATGGTCAGGACAACCCTTGAGCAGATGGTGAGGTGAGGAGCAGCTGGTGTGAGGCAGAACCACCACGTCCTCCTTATGCCTCAGGAGGGAGCTGTAGGATGCACAAGGGAAAGGTGACGCAGTGAGCCACTCTACAGTGGAAAGCAGCGGTGGCTGCATCTTTTGTGTCTCCCCGCAGGTGACTGTGGTGATGCCACTGCAGGAGAACTTGTGCAGCAGGTCCTCAGTGCTGGTCCCTCCTGCTGACTGCATCAGTGAGCTCTGTGCCTCAGAGGAACCTTGATCTTTTTGGATCCAAGCAGTATGGCTCAGTCCTTACTCCACAAGCAAAGGTACAAGGGTGTTTCCAGCTCCTGCAAAGTCACACTTGGATCAGGTTGGGGCAGTCAAGACCTGGGTAAAATGAAACAGAGGTTCCTCCTCCAACTCCAGCCTCCAGAGAGGGGCAGGCAGTGGACCTCTCCCTCCTCTCCCAGCATGAGAGACCACTCTGTACTCAACTGTGTGGTGGGGCATGCCTCTTCCCTACTCCCCTGTGAGGATGGTGAAGGAGAGAAGCTGGTGTACATGGTGGTAGAAGGCTACAAGTGAAGACTCACCCTGCAGGGAAGGCAGAAGGAGGATGGGATATGGGCTCTGGAGAATCTCTGCTCCTGAAATCAGGCATGAAGCCAAGTGTTTTGGAAGGGGTATGCAGCTGGGAGCTTATTAACAGCCCCAAGGTGTACCCAGAAAACCATGTCTCCTTCCACATGGACCCTGCACTGCAGGAGGATGCTGGAAAGCTTGAAAAGGGTCTTGGTGAGCTCCCTAGAAAAGTGCTCCTGTGGCATCTCTGAGCTCTATCTGCAAGGTTGGTGTCCCACTCCTCTCACCCAGTTTGCAATGCCCTCCTCCCTCCCTCATCCACACTGCTCATCATCAGGATGGTCCCTTCTTAAGCCAAACTTGCAGGCTTGCACTCCTTCAGTGTCTTATACATACTTGAAATACCTGGACCAAAAAGTCACTTCTGGAAGTGACCTATAGTGTTTGAAGGATGGATAGAAACATTTCCTATTTTCTGTCTGGTTTTGTAAGGAAGTTACAAAAGGCCAAGGTTGGATGGGACTTGGAGCAACCTGGTATAGTGGAAGGTGTCCCTGCCCGTGTCAGAGCTTTGGAACTGTATGAGCTTTAAGGTCCCTTCCCACCCAAACCAATCCATGATTCTATGAAGTGAAGGCTTCACAGCCATTGTTTTGTCTCTCTCGCCTTTTTGACCCTTTGAACCATTTCAGACAACTCTCACTACTGGGTAGAGATCTTGAAGTTACAAAGTGTAGTACAAAGTATTCTACTGGGTTCCAAGTCCCTTTTGTCACCAAAGGTTGGGCATGTGATCAAGTTACCCGCTGTAAAGCATGGCAACATAATTTCTGAGGGAGAAAAGCTGGGAGGTGGGAGCAGGAGGGTTTTACTGGAGCAGGGCAGGAGGTCATGGGAACAATATGTTCCCAAACATCCAGAGGGTTTCTGACCACCTCTGTTGCTCCTCTGCAGAACTGAACCTGACGTGCATGGGCTTCCTGGCAAAGGTCTGGGACCAGGCGTGGGCTCAGCTGTCAGAGCAGCAGCGCTCCATCGAGACATGGTGCTGGGGCTTCTGGGCCAACCCTGACCCCTTCTCAGTGGATGGCAGTGTGCTGAAAACCAGCCTCGAGTGCATTGCCCCCAAAGCCACCCTGTCCGTGTCGCACAGTGCTGGTGAGCAGGAGGCAAAGCTGAGCATGGTGATCTGCTTCCAGCACAGAAAGCAGGGCTGGGACCAGGGTCAGGATACGTCCCCACGTGAGAGGGGCAGTGCAGGGCAAGCCACCAGACTGGGCTTCACCAGCTAGCTCCTTGCTTTTGGAGCTCTTGGACAAACAGCTTAGAAGCCCAGTTGCTCAAGAGCAGGAGCTGAGACCTAGGCTGGAGCTCACCAGAGCCAGCACACTGCAGGGGTGCAACCGAGGGGTGGAAGAGGGGCTTTCCACATCAGGAGGCTGGTACAGCCCAACCTCTTGTCACCCACTGAAGCTGTGTGTGCCCCCATCATTGGAAGTGTTCAGGGCCAGCTTGGACAAGACAACCAACAAGGGACCAGACAAGAGGGAATGGCTTTAAACTGACAGAGGGTTGAACCAGATCATGTTTAAAGGTCCCATCCAATCCAGTCCAGCCCAAGCCAACCCATTCTGTGACTGATTCTGTGACCTCTTAGTGGCGCTCTGTGCTGGGAGAGATCCTGGCTACAATGCTCTGTCTCTGCCTTTGCACTCTCAGCTTCCTTCCAGGAATGGGAAATTGCCCTGTTTCTCGTGGGATCTCTCCCGCTCATGTTTTTGTTGGTTGGCCTGGCATTTTACTTCATCAAAATGTGAGAAATCATCTTTCTATCTGCCTTGCATTTCTCACTCTCTCTTTCCCCAGTGCTTCCTTTCTAATTGCTATGCAGTGACCTGCTCCTTCTCTCACGTGATCACCTACATTCTTCATCCAGACACTCCAATATGTTGCTCTTAATTTTTTTGCAGCGAAGTCCCTTTGCTTCTGGTTCTGCAGGAGGTTAAAGTAAGCATGAGTGAAAACATGCACAATGCACAGCATAAAGACCATCAATCTTACTTAGAGCATGTGGTGAGAGAGCAGAAAGCTGAAGGCTTGTGGCACACAAAGGCAGTGAGAGATACTACTTTGGCTGCAGGGAAGAGCTCTTCCTTTAGAGCAGGGTGGAAGCAACAGGCAGTTTAGGATTGATTACCTTGGTGGGAAACAGCTTCCACATTACAACATGGCAGCACTGTAAATAATTACTTGACGTTCCCTAATGTCAGCAGGCAATATGCAGCTTACCAGGCTGTATGTTTGAAATGAATGCTATGGTGGATGGTTTATTTAACTATCCCAAGTGATTTGTTACCATTCATTTTTACTAATCTGATGTACAAGAGTTAGAAAGGAAGAAAGTCCTTAAAATCCATCTCGGGAATAGAAAACTGTGAGTAACTTTTTAAAGACATTTTAGAAATACCATAAGTCAGGTTTAGGGAAGCTGTTTCAGAAACTAGCGTGGGTTTAAGTAGATGTACACATGCCAGGTGATGGCAGGAATTCTGCTTTTGGTTTTCCCCAAAACATTAACAAAGACCTTAGGAAACTGTGTGCCTGCTGAAGGCAGATCCAGCCTCTTCATTTCAAGTGCCAAGGAAAATGCAGGTTAGTTGTGCAAAAGAGCAGAGTGACAGATTTCACATTTCCCTTTGTCTTTTGCTTTTCAGACACCCCCAGAACTACACCAACATTGAAATGAGTGACCGCGGGAAGATGGTAGCAGAATTCTAATGCTGCCAGCGCAGCAATGGGACAGCCATGTGTCTGGGAGGGTCACTGTGACCGGGACTGCTGCAGGGACCTGGAAAACACCTGGGGGGGGGGGGTGGGGGGGTGGGGTGGGGTGGGTAGGATGTGAGTACCGCTCTGTGTGTGCGTGTGTGCGCAAACACGTGGATTATTTTTACACTTACAAACTTTGACCCCAGCCTCAAGGAGTTCAAAGAAATGGGCTAGGCCCTTCTACACAAAGCTTGTACTAAGTGTCGTGACCAGAAAGCAATAAGCCTGCTTGGCTGATGCACAGAAAGGACACATTCTGCCTCCTCTCGAGATTCACTGCTGGGTGATGAACCAAGGCCACCCCCTGCACATCTTGCAAAATGAAGAGAGATCCCACACTGTTTCTGAACTGTGGTATATGTACATTTTTACTGAACAAGGCCCCACAGCGGGAGAGCACAAAGCGTCCTTGATTGATCATCCTGGTACTGACCCTCATGACAGGAAGCCTTGCATCTTCTTTGAGACCCTGCTGTTTCTCTCTTAGTTGCATCATCTCCTTGTCGGCCTCCTGTCTGTGCTGCTGAAGTCCATAAAGTCCCACGTAGTCCATGGGCCTCCAGCCAGCCTCAGCCAGGATAGGCAGCACAAAGTGGGGCCTCAGCTTTCCACTACCATGCCTCTTGTGCCAGGCAGCCCCTTTCAACCAACAGGCCTGAGGACAAGAGCCACCAGTGACCTTCTCTGCTTGATGCCCCATAGTCCTTAAGCCACAGCCTGTGGGAGGTGGTTCTTCTCCACAGCTTCATCCTACCATCAGCATAGCACTGCTAGAGTGTTGCTCGCATCACAGTAGGTCAGATGAGCTCCATCTTGAACTGGCTGAAGCTTGGCATGGTGAGTGAGGGCTCGGTTGTGTTGCTGAAGGGGATGCAGGGCTGGTTGGCCGGCACTGTGATGTGACTCACTGTGGAGCTGAGCTGCTGCAGCCTCACCAGCACCTCCTGCTGCAGCCACTGCTGGTGCTCTTGCTGCCACTCCAGCTGGCTCTGCCTCTGCAGCAGCATGTGCAGGGCCTGGCTCCGCTTTGGGATCTCTGTCTGTACAGCATCCAGCTTTTCAGCAATGGCATGGGAACTGGGAGCAACGGGAAGTACTGAACTGCCCCAAGCAAGGCTTGGATTTCCAGGGCTCATAGGGTTCGGCAGGACCATCTGAGTGCTGTCATCTTTGACCTGCAATAATGGGAAGCAGAAGAGAAGGGAGGGTGAAACATTGCCAGCTGCTCCTTCAATGACATTTGGCAAAAGGAAGATTTATTCTGTGCTTAACTACAAGGTGTGAGAGAAAGCCATCACTTTGCTGGGGACCTCTAGACTTCATCCCCACCCAGCCCCTCCGCTGCTGCTCTGCAAGAGCTCCACATGCTCTGCATGCTGGTAGCATGTGTTTAGACATCCACTGGTGGATGCTGTTCCTGTCCCAATGCCAGACACACGTTTGCTCTCTGCAGGGACAGAAATAACACATCCTGGGGTTTTCTTTACAGTCCCTCTATGTCTTGTATTGTATCCTGAAGCAACGACTGTTCTGCTCACTGAGGAGGACCACATGTGGTTTTGAGCCCCACGGGAGCTTTTCTTCTGGAAAGGGTGTTGAACAACCTGTGTCCTCTCAAGCAGCTGGAAGGGCTCTTGACAATCACTTATGGGACAATGTATGCATGGACACAGCCTGGGGGTCTCATGGCATGGCAAGGCAGGGGGGTACACAATGGGGATTACAGCAGTTGGATATGTCCCAGGGGTGGCTGTCTGTCCTGGGTTCAGCAGTAGCAGTCATTTTCCTCCTTCTTGGTAGCTGGTGCAGTGCTGTGTTTTGACTTTCAGCCTGGGAACAGAGCTGATAGCGATGTTTTGGTTTGGCCAAGGACTTTGTGAGCCTCATGCTCTGCCAGGGAGGAGGGGAAGCCGGGAGGAAGCAGAGACAGGACACCTGACCCAAACTGACCAAAGAGGTATTCCATACCACAGCACGTCATGCCCAGGATGTAACTGGGAGTTAGCCAGAAGGGTTGGGAGACTCCAGGGTTGGAGGAGGTATCGGTCGGTGCTTGGTCGGGGCTGGGGGGGGGTCAAGTTATCGGTCAGCTGGTGGTGAGGTGTTGTATTCTCTTCCCTTGTTATTTCCTTTATCATTGTTATTACTGGTGGTAGCAGTAGTGATTTGTGTCATACCTTAGTTACTAAACTGTTCTTATCTCAACCTGTGGGAGTTGCATTCTTTTCGATTCTCCTCTCCGTCCCTCCGGGAGTAGGGGGAGGGAAAGAAGGGGGGGGGGGGGTGAGTGAACGAGTTACCTGACTGGGTTTAAACCACGACACTGTCCTAGCTGTGTCAGCCTACTGTGGCCTGCCACAGCACTTCATCTCCTGGTACAGCACCAAGTCATGCAGCTGCTAGTGTCCCTGTGGTGGGCTGGGGAAGCTCCTGAGCTGGTACTGAAACCAAGCCTTAAAGAGGGGGTTTGTGAGCTGCAGGTTGGAGGCCAATGCTAGCAAAAACTGACCTATCCATGGCCAGCATCACCTAAGAACAGCAGCTGTGTGGGCAGCATGCCCCACGGCCCTAGAGAACAGAGGGGCTTCCCAGGCAAGCTCCCAAAGTGCCAGGATTGAGCATTGCTGTAGAGTGCAGGTAGCAGAGGCTGGGAGGTATTTCAAGAGTGTTTTGCCACCAGCAGCCTGCCCCATCCATCTGCATGGAGTGGATACAGCAGGGTGCTGTGCAGGGTGTCCTGTGGGCAGCACCACCGCAGCTCCTGCCTCGCGCAGACAGGCTCTCTCACCCCACGGTGCTGCCCAGCAGCCTACCTTTTACTGCAGGATGATCGTCCTGTCCACGAGCTGCTTCTTCACCATGAGGGCTGGGTTCCTGGCCAGGGGTGCACTCGGCCACTCTTGGCTGGGGAGGGGCTGGTGGGTGCTGACCATGATCCCTGGAGCCAAGAGGGCACCTGTGGAGCTGCCATCGCCTGCAAGGGACAGCGAGAGAAACACCTTGAAAGGAGAATCCGGGGCAACCCAGCACAGGGCTGGGAGCCCTTTCCCTGATCCAGCATTGCTGAGGGTGCCATGGCAGTGACCCCTCTGGGGAGCCAGGCCTTACCATTCCTGGGGGGCAGGCCCATGGGGAAGGCCTCGCTGCTCTGCCCACTGCCCCAGCACAGTGAGGTTGGGCTGACACTCTGGTTGCCCTCCTTGGTGTCGGGGCCAGCTGCGGGGCCCTGGCTGACCAGTGGGTCCCCGCCAGGCACTGCAGGGGAACAGGGACCTGCCAGCTTGGGCAGCTTAGGCTCTTGTCTTTGCAGTGGAGGCTACGGCTGGTCCGTGTCCCAGGCAGCTGCCACCAGCCCTGGCTCCACGCTCTTCTACTTGAGGAAGAGGTACACTGCCTGTGGCATCATGTGGATGCCATCCAGCTCCAGCACCTACTTGATCTTGTGGAAACTCAGCCCAGCCCTGTGCAGCTCCACGATCCTTCTCTTAGCACAGTCATCCAGCTGGCCCATCGCTCCCAGGACCTCTCCTAGCCAGCACCTACATCCCCCTTGTGGTGACAGCAGCAGCACCCTAACAGCACCAAGCCCCACGGTGGTGCTCAGACTCTGCTAGTACTCTGCTGCTGGGCTAATGGCCCTGGCTGTGGATCCACAGGGTGCCATCCCCAGCTTTTAGCAGTGACCCAGTTCCCAGCCAGAGAGGAGGAAGGAGCTAGCTCTTCCCACCAGAGCTACTAGGGACAGTCCAAACCCTGTCCCTAGCTCACACAGAGTCCCCTTGGAGCTGGGGGTCCAGCCTGGTCCCTCTGTCTGCTAAAGGCACAGAGAATGGTAACAGACTTGGCTGTGCCCTGTGTCCCAAACTGGACATCAATTCTGCACTGACAGCAGCACAGGGAGGAATCAGGAGTGGAATCAGCAGCAGCTCAGTATCCTAGGAAGCTCAGTGTGAGCCCTGGCAAATGGTGGTTCAGTGCACGAGGCTGGAAGGTTCCTAACAGAGCTTCACATCTCCTTGGTGGTCTGGAAGGGGACCAAGCAGAACCTGGGAGGCCCATGGTGACAACTTCTCCATGGGAACTCCTTGGGCTGCAGAGCCTGCACTTTGCGTTTGAAGAGGACACTGTCTTGTACCTTTGGGAGAAATAAAAGCAACCACTTATACACCAGTTGTAAAGATGGCACAAGTGTAAGTGTAATGACAGTACCTCCCATGCCTCCCTGTCCTCCCCATGGGCACAGCCCTGGCTGATGGCTCAGGAGGTGTCACACTCATGGTGCATGCATGTGTGGTGTAGCAGGGATGGTGCTGCTGGTGTGGTCCCTGCATGTTTGTCTCCTCTGGGTTGCATCTCAGAGCCAAGCACCATGGTAGGACCAGCCCATTTCCTTGCTGCAGGTGTTATGGCAGGGGCGGGTCAGGATATGCAGTGCTTGAAGTTGTGTCTTTGAGTCATGCACCTCAGTTATTTTGAATTGCTACTGTTACAAAGCCATCAAACTTAATGTTACTTAGAATTGATTCTACTTATTTACAAAGATTTATATTTCATTTTGTGATTTTGTGCCTTTTTGTCTCAAATCCCCCATTTTTCTGTCCTTTCGCAAATCCTTTTGCAAATCCTTTACTACCATTATCATCTAGAGACTTTTTGAAATAATTGCCTGTTTCTACTTGATGCTTGATTTCATTTCTCTTCCAATCTTCATAATTTATCATAGATCGTTTACAATACCAGAAGGAACATTGTACCATACCACAAGTAATCGATATTAAAACAATATTCCTGCAACTAGTTGCCTCAACCAGGACAGATTAGCTAACCATGAAGTTAACTTTTTCCATATTTCTTCAAAACCCCAGGAGACATGGGGATTGACAGAGGATGATCATCCCAGGAGGATAATTCTCCTTGCCCATTTCATGAAATACTTCAGTTTGTTTCCAAATTTCCTCCAGATCTGTTTCAATTCTGCCACTTTGATCTATGTAGAAACAGCAACTTTCATTGATTATGGAACAAACCCCTCCTTGTGAAACCAGTAACATGTCTAGAGCCATTCAGTTTTGTAATACCACTTTAGACAGGCTGGTTATCTCTTTTTGTTCCACTTGGATTATATCAATAGTTTTACTTTCTATTTCCTCTATGGTTGCTGGGATATTTACGATTGCCTTCTCTAATTCACTTACTCCCAAAGATAGAATTAGCCATCTCACAAAACTATGAAATGTGGTGCTCCATTCAGCAATAGGGTTAAACCCTTGCTTAATCTGTTTCGCAAAACTTCTAATCCAGGTTCCAGAAGGATACATGTCAATAATAGTAAGATTGGGTATCACAGCACCTAAGGTGCATGCCCCCTTCCAGCTGCGGGGTAGTCTTATAAACATTTTCTTCACATAACCAATACCGTCCTTTCTCTTCAAGAAAAGGCCACCACTGAACTACGATACCATCTGTATTAATAGTGTGATTGGAATTTGAATAGTGACCTACATGTGTGGCATTTAAACAAACATGATCTCCTACTCTGGTTCCCGGTGTAATACATCTTTGTACACAGGTATAAGATTTTTTACTTGGATTAGGATTAACTACCCCAAATTTTAACCTTTCCCTCGGATGTAGATTACTAGTGTTCACTCACAAATTTCTCCATGAGATAGTGTTGGGAATTGAAATGCCAATTAATGGAAGGTCTGGATTTTCTCCTGATTTAGGCAACTGTGCACACACCCAACAGTCACTACGATTAAAAAATTTAGTAACATTTGGTAACATTTTAGTAACAAGTTTTGGTCCCAAGCTTGTATGCCAGTTATCATATAAATCCAAATTCTGACTGATGCAGTTTCATATGTAAGGGTCCTGAAGGTTCGATCCACCATGTCTTCTCTGGCTCTGGTGCTTTCTTTATTCTTGAATAATGTATCCAAGCAGGTTGTTCCTTTTTCTTCACTACTGTAAAGGTGGTCAATAATATCTAGTGCGGTCCGCTCCACTCTCCTGTAGAGAATCTCCTGTGAAGTGGTGGTAACGGCATATCCTGCCTTTCATTCACCATTTTTCATGAAGCTACTACCATCAGTAAACCCAGAATCAGCATCTTCCAGAGGTTTTTCTTTCAAATCTGGTTGGCTCAAACATACAGTCTCTATAGTGGCCAAGCAGTCGTGTGTTAGTGGTTCTGTCAATTGTTCCTGCAAAAAGGATGCAGAACACCATAATCATGGATTCAAAGTCTGCACCATCCAGTCATTCCCAAGAATGTCTGGAGCTCCTTGACGGTCGATGGTCATGGAGTTTGAAAACTGGCTTCTTTTCTAGCGGTTCCAAGTTCTCTCTGTCCTCCTGTTATTTCATATCCTGGGATTTCAGATGCCCAAACTCCTGGGTATACCTGATTGAGGATTTCTTCTACTTTGGGTGAATTGGACTTCCCGATTTCCTTCCTCTGAGGAAGGACCCATTGTGGTGCATTTTCACATAGTTTCTCCGAGCTTGTCCAGAAACTCTGTCAGCAACTCCTTTGCCCGTCTTATTTCAAACAGCACTGACCAGTTTACTGCTTTAGGTATAGCATTTTCAAGCCCCTATTTATTCCAATGTTGATATCTCTTTAGAGATGCATAATCTCCAGCATCATTATAATCCCAAGATGGAGCTGTAAGGGGAATATGATCTTCAACCGTCCCAGCTGTCGCCCCTGCAGTAATCTAAGCATTTACCTGAGTACAAGCAGTTTTTATAACCAGTTGTTTTTCTGTCTCTGTTAATGCATCCAATATTACATCTATATCCTTCCAATCAGGATCCTGTCTTTTTACCAGTATCTCAAATTTCTTAGCTACCCCTATGGGGTCATTTTGATAGTTTTTTGCAATCTGCTTCCAATTACCCAAATCTCCTAAAGATAAATTCACTTTTATCCTGGTACGCCCCTCCGATCCCATTGCTTCCCTAAGAGGGGCTTGCAGGACAGTCTTAGTTTTATTACGGACATGGGTGGCAACAGGAGTGGAGGGAATTTTCTCTACACTTTGTTCTTGCTCTTCATCTGAAACAGAGGTGATCTCTGATCCAGTACCTTTGGGGAAACATAATCCTCCATTCTATCCTCAACCATGTTATCCTCAGCTCTTAAGTTTCAAACACATTTCCCCAGTATCACAACCAGAACAAGATTTTTCCAATCTATTCCCAGCCTGCTTCCTTTCTTTTTCTGAAGCTAAAATTAAAGGATCTGAAGGTGCTATATTAATTCCACATTCTTTCTGCCATTCCGGGTGGTTTTGCAACGTGAAAAAATATATCTGCATACATTACTTCATCCCATTTTCCCTGTGACCTCAAAAACAACATTAATTGTAACAATGTATTACAATTCAGAGTTCCATTTTTAGGCCATTTCTCCTGATCCTCCAGAGTATACAACAGCCACCATTGGTTACAATATTTTACCAACATTTTCTTATTTACTGAGCCCCCAGGAGACACACCGCACCCCCCACCCCGGTTCTTTCCAATGTGCCAAAATGCACCCTAAGGGACTCTTTTTCAAGATCTCTCCACTCTGCTGGTTTCCCATTGTCAGTCTCACATTCACACACACACTAGGATTCCCACAGACACGCTCCACACAGTTACAACACTTGAGACAGAGACTAAAATTCTATCAAACAACCAACAATAACACAGTTATAACATCCTGTCACCAATACTAAAATCACAAGACCAAAATCATCACTGTAAAAAGCCGCAAAATAAGTCGAATATCAATAAGATCCCAAACCATTTCCACAAGACACCCCCTGTGTCTTGTAGGACCCAAATCACAAGATGCCCCCTGCTTCTCGTGGGTGTATAGCAAACGGACGCTAGCAGCCGGGTATATGCCTTTACCTAACAGATTTCATATCTCGATTTGCGGAAGGCTTCCTAACCTTGCGTACACTTACCAAACCAACCCAATTTAGTACCTTACAGACTATATAAAAGAGAAGAATACCTTTTATGAAGATGGTCCTTGTCAGCTCCCACAGTGATCTGAATGAGGAAAAGGGTCCCTCCGGGAAGAACTCCCGAGGGCCCTAGGAAGCCCTGTCCTCAGCGGGTCCTGCAGCTGAGCAGAGCAGGTCCCATCTGGGGTGCCAAATTGATTCGGAGAAAACTCCAGGAACAAACTTGCCAACAAAGTTTTCAAGTTGACAAGCAGGTATTCTTTACGACAGCGCCGGGAGACACAGGGGATAGCTCCACCTAGCGTGTGTCCACGTATTGCTACACAAGCCGCCCTTATATAGTCACTGGGCATATATGCATATTCATGAGGCTACGTATGAATTACTTAATTTTCCAGAAAGTTTCCCCGCACGAGTACAAAAATGCGGTGGTCTCTGAGGGTCGTTTACTTCTTCCAACAATCTTCATGACTTCTGGCAGCCTTTGAAGCATGCACAGTAGATGTTTACGCCAGCTTAATTGGTTCAAGTAACACTACAAAATAGCAATCATCCTGTCCTACTGATCAGTTAGTTTAGCTGCAGCCCATCCTGGACATCTGCTAGTTCCAGATACTCCCCATCCCCATGGCCTGTTTTTCTGTCCTGTTTTTCTTACACTTATTTTGTACTAAGGTCATAAGGACCTAAAACTCTGTCAGCTGCAACGGTTTATCTTATACAAGTGATACAGAGGGTTGACCAATGTACAGGGGGGTAGTACAGGGGGGTTGTACAAGGGGGTTGTACAGGGGGGTTATACAAGGGGGTTAGAGGAATTTGCTTGCTTAAACAAAAGGACTATCTGTTGTAAATGCCTGCTAAGCAGAACAGAGACCTCCAGTCCTGTTGATAAGCAGACGCCTGAATCTACTGATAAAGGGGAGAAGCAGAGGATTTACGGCTGGGACACTGACCAAACTCTAAGACCACACGTAAAGACTAAAAAAGGTGAAAAGTGCAAGAAGAGGAAGACTCATTTACTTCATCTTGAAGACCCCTACCCAGAGGAGGAAGACTCATTTACTTCATCTTGAGACCCCTGCCCATGACCAGAGAGGGCACTGCGCAGGCGCAGAGGACCTTCTGGCTCATTATGATATGAAGCGGGGATAGGACATGAATATGTATAGGCGTGTTGTGCAACCTTATGAATATATATAACTTTAGAGAATAAATGTAGAGGGAAACAACACTGAGGTACGCATGACTTTGAGGAATTATCCCCGTGCGTCTCAGCACTGAATAAAAAGCATACCTACTTTACAACTTTAACGAGTTGTGGAGTCAATCCACGCATCACAAGAATTCTCAGTATGTTCTCTAGCCACGCTCTACTGTTTTTGTCTGTGAATCATGCACCTCAGTTATTTTCCATTGCTACTGTTACAAAGCTATCAAACTTAACATTACTTAAAACTGATTCTACTTATTTACAAAGGTTTATATTTAATTTTGTGAGTTTGTGCCTCCTTGTCTCAATACATAAACATTTATGTGTGTATTCAACTACACTGAAGGGCTTTTCCAATTCCTATTATCTTCCTTCATCTTTGCAAGGGCCGGTAGGGAGAGGCAAAGGAGGAGTGGCTTTAACCTGACAGAGGGGAGACTGAGATGAGCTCTTAGGCAGAAGTTCTTCCCTGTGAGGGTGCTGAGGCGCTGTCACAGGCTGCCCAGAGAAGCTGTGGCTGCCCCATCCCTGGCAGTGTTCAAGGCCAGGCTGCAACAAGCCCCGTCTGCCAGACTTCCCTTCACTCCAGGCCTTGTGGCTGGTAGCAGCTTGATCCCTTCTTGCCCGCCCTTCTCTCTAACTCTGATTTCCAGCCCTCCCTCTCAGATTCCCAGCATACCTTTGAGGAGATGGAGCAGCTGCAAGCAGCTGGGGAAGGACACTGATCCATCCTTATCTGGGTTATTGTTTTCCAGTAGTATTCTAAATAGCTATTGCAGAAGCTGGCAGGGTGAGTCCTTTTTGACTCTGCAGCAGCTCAGAGGAATTAAAAAATACTAAAAACATCCTCCAGAAGCAGAAGGACAATGATGGTTTACACTCAGATATGGAAAGAAAAGAAAGCAAGAAACATTTCAAGTAGAGCAAAGAAGGCAAAGATGCTGTGGAAGGGTTTAGTCTGATGGGGGAACACTAGATTCCTTCTTGATTTGCAGAGATACACAGGAATGCTCCACTTGGTTTCCTGCCCTCAGGGTCCCATTTCAGAGCCTTTCAGCTCAGCTTTGAAGGGACATGGATAGTTCTTAGCTCTTCACTTAGATAACAGTATCTCTGCTGTACAAACAGGCTGGGAAGTCTTAGCTCCCTGGAGAAAAGTACTCAGAGAGAACTGGCAATGTGGTTTAATGGTACTTAGCGTGGTGGAATATTGGGTGAACAATATTAGGTGCCCTGTGCTGAACTGTTGCCAAAGCATGAAGATCCATGCCAGAGAAGAATGGCTGTTTCTCCCAGAATGCAGTTTTACCCAGTGTTGCTGCTTTGTGCAATCTGTCAAGCCTCATGGAAGCAGTAACCTTATCTAACAACATTGACGTATATCAGCCATATGGACTGCTGTAGCCCATGTTACACAGCCCTGATACTCTTCACAAAACTGGTGAAGGAGCAGCTCTGTTACAGATTTTATTGAAAGGAGATGTGCCAATTGAATTTAGATGGTGCTGCTGTTACCTGAACCATGCTGGCTGCCCCTCTGCAGGAATAACCACACAAGAAGCTTTTTCATTAACTTGTACTTTAGCCATCAGAACAGCAGAGAAGGGTTTGTATATCTGCCCAGGATTTAAAAGTGAGCTGTTCAGAGCCCAGACCTAGGTTTGCTCTACCACCTTTGACAACTGACCAATTCCTCCTGGCTCTGCTTTCAGAGCAGTAGAGGAGCTACCCACTGACAGGACACACTTTAAAAATCAGATCCTCAAATGGAAAATACAAAACTTTAAGATTCTATTTTAAGGTTTACAGTATGTGCATATTGAAGAAAGTTGGGTTCCTGCAAGGTTTCTTTAATTAACAGTTTGGGGGGTTGCAAAACAAACTGCAAGTAGGGTCACACACATAGAATCATAGAATGGTTTGGGTTGGAAAGGACCTTAAGATCATCAAGTTCCAACCCCCCTGCCATGGGCAGGTACACCTCCCACTAAACCATGCCACCCAAGGCTCTGTCCAACCTGGCCTTGAACACCGCCAGGGATGGAGCATTCACAAAGTATAGATGGAGCATAGACACAAAGTCATTGTTAAGCTTACAGGTAAGTACTCTTAGACATAAAATCTACTAATGCTGTGTATTATCTTGATGAAATGTAACAATCCAACTATATATTGCGCAGCTTATAAGAAACAAAACAAAGAGTTAATTCTCCACTTATTTAAGTCTCTGCCATGTGCTGGTTAAAGGAAATGGCAGTCATCGCTTATCTTCCACCTGTAAGCAGGCAACTTAGACAAGGACTGGGAAGAAGAAAACTAGTCCTTCTGTAAAAGAATTACTGTTTTTTTCCCCTTCTGTTCCTTCTTCAGCCAGATCAATGCACATTGTGTCAACAGTGACTCACAATAATTGGGCTTTCTAGAGTTATTTTCATACCCTTTTTAAAACACCTTGCTAACTCTCATGTAACATGAACCACTTGAAAACCATCTGAACATAAAGCACTTGAAGATTTTTCCTTGCCATGGGACAAACTTAGAAGCACATCCAGAACAAAGGGGCTGTCTGCTAATGCTTCATGTCTTACTGCTCAGCAAATAATCAGCAAATGAGTATTTCAGCACCTTTCATGCATACGTGTTTTGTGTGTATTTAAATTGGTTATATTCACTGTGAATTTCATTGAATATGTACCCACCCATTTAAGAACTAACGATATGTACTTATGCTTTGCCGTGACTGCATGACTGGTGAGAACGGCAAGATCTGAGATTAGACTTGTGAGCAATGGTTTTCAAAAATAAGATTTAGTTTTGTGGGTACCTATATACACTTTTTTACTCTTATTTTCAAGTAATGCTGGAATACATTCATGAGCATAGGGAGGTTTAGTTTGAGGATTTTTTTTGGTTGGTTTTTGGTTTGAGGTTTTTTTTAAGTTCATGCATTGAACTGAAGAGTCATTACTGAATTCTGTGAAAATACTTCTCTATGCTAAGATAGCATACTATATAATTGATTAGTGAAGTTTGGGGTTTGGTTTTTGCTGGGGGGGGGTTGGGGTGAGCTGTTTTTTGTTTGGTTTTCATTTTGCTTTTGTTTTTGTTTTTTAATACAGGTTTGGGAAACAGACATTGAAAATAAATAGGATAAAATAAACAAGATGCGTATAGCTTGCTTTTGACCCAGACAATGCCTCTACAGCCTGGTGCTAACTGGGGAATAGGGCATAAAGAGAAGGTGACAGGATAAATAGCAGTGTGCACATGTAAACAGTATTAGGATTGTACAGGGCACAGGGTAAAGCCAGTGTAAACATAGTACTGTTTCCTCATGATTGAGGGGAAGGAAGGAAAGGAACAGTTTCAGGAATACAGGAAAATCCTCCCTGATGGTCAGAAGGTCCCAAGCCATGCAGCACAAAGCAGTGACACTGTATAAAATCATGCTGATGGATAGATTTGTACAAAAAAGCTTTGCATTGTGTCAGCTCTCCTACAGCTCAAAACTGTGAGCCAACATCAACACCATATCACAAGGGCTAACACATTGAGCATGGTTGTGATTCTGTGCCTGTACCTGATAAAGGTCAAGTTTGTATAAAGAAATTATTTGGAGCATCCAAACCTGATATGAAGGCCTGTGGAACCACAGCTTGACGGAAAAAGAGGCTTTCACAGACCTAGGGGAGAGGAACAGCTGGATTTCACATCCAGGTTTATAAATCCATCTCTGCTCTGGAACTCAACAAATTTGTCAGGCTGAGCTTAAGTATTTGGACAAGAACAAATACTGCCAGTATCTCCCTGCCCTGCCTTCACCTGTACAGTCAACATTAGCCTCTCTTTAATGTGTTACACAGTCTTAAGTGTCTACTCTCCAAAGATACAGCCCTTCCAGCAGAGTTGCAAAGGCTAAACCACAAATACACCTTCATTTTC